AAAAAAAAAACACCAAAACCATACTTAGTTCTGACTTAATAATTGAATGCTAATTAGTATTGAATAAATTCCAGAGGAAAACAATCTGGGTGTGTTACTTGATGCTCAGCTGAATGTGAGCCAGCAGTGTGCCCAGGTGGCCAGAAGGCCAATGGCATCCTGGCATGTATCAGAAATAGTGTAGCCAGCAGGAACAGGAAGGTGATCATCCCCCTGTACTCAGCCGTAGTGAGGCTGCATCTTGAGTACTGTGTTCAGTTTTGGATCCCTCACTTCAAGAAAGACACTGAGGCCCAGGAGCGTGTCCAGAGAAGGAGAGCAAAGCTGGTGGTGGGACTGGAGCACAAGTCTTATGAGGGATAGCTGAGGGAATCGGGATTGTTTAGTCTGGAGAAGAAGAGACTAAGGGGAACTTTATTGCCTCCTACAATGACCTGAAAGGAAGCTGTGGTGGGGTGGAGTTTGGCTTCTTCTCCCACGTAACTAGAATAGGACAGGAGGGAATGACCTCACGGTGTGCCAGGGGAGGTTCGGGTTGGATATTAGAAAAAATTCTCTGAAAGAATGGTTGGGCACTGGCACGGGCTGCCCAAGGAGATGGTAGAGCCACCATCCCTAGAGGTGTTCAAGAAATGTGTGAATGTGGTTAATATGGAACATGGTTTAGTGGGTAATGGTGGTAGATGGATGGCTGGACTAGATAATCTTAGAGGTCTTTTACTACCTTAATGATTCTATGATTCTATGAAATGTACGTGTTAGCAGTGTGTTCTCATTTCCATGGAAAGAAACTGCTGCTGGTTTTAATGCTAGATACTTGCAGTTAATCCTAATGGACACAAAGAACTAGGTTCTGTACTGTGAAATGGTTAACCTATCCATTTCTATTCATAGTTAACATGTCCCACTCATGCTAAAATATGTAAGTGCCCAGTAATGCATGATTTTCAGGTGGTTAGTAGGAACCATGTTGTCCTGAGTAGTGCTAAGCTGGAGGGCTGTGAATCTTACTTCTTGTCTTAGAATAAAGAGCCCTTTAGTCAATTTAGCTGATATTTAACTGATAACTAAATAGACACTACATGGTAATTCATGTACAACACTGAACTGTATCAAAATTTGTGGCCCAAGTCACAAGAAATACCCTGGCTGACTCTTTGGAAGATTTGATGAGAGTGAGGAGGGTTGTTAGTTTTTATGATGTATAGACTTTCAATCTGTGTGGTGTTACAGATGTCTGAAACTCCTGAAATGAATGTACCCCTCTTTTTTACATCCTTAGATTTCCCCTTTAACCAGAACTTTTTATCTGATTCTTTAGCACAGATGCTGAACCATATGTTTGAGAGAGATGGAGGTAAGAATTACATAAGGCATCATTTGTTGTTTTGCAATTTATCTGATGTTGTCAACTTCCAAATGACACCTTTATATATATATATATTTTTTTTTTTGCAAAGTATATTGATCTAATCTATTTTGCTGCTTCGTGTTCGTTCAACAGAGCTATTTAGAATGCTGTACTGTTCTATTTGTAGAGATATGTCCTGGGCTTCTGTGTGTATGTTCTGTTCAGAAGATTTTGAGAGTTCAGAATATCATCAGGTAAAATGTTAGTTTGAAATATATTTCCTTACCTGTCTTAGTCTAGAGCACATCTATAAACCAGCGTGTCTCAGTGATGCTAGAGAATTAGACCATGACTTATTGTTTTTATAAATAACTTGGTTATATATATTATATATATATATATAATTATATAGGATGATGAAAAACCAAATTATAAGAGGTTCCCCAGTAGGTGGAAAAGAAAGGCTTTGTTTCTGTCTTCCAAATATTGCAAATATTGTATTGTATTGCAAATACTCGTTCATGTGTGTGCGTACAAATGTGTATGTAAACATAGTAACCTGTCCTGACCTGAACTTCTAACAATGTATGCATATATCCGTATGTGTAAATATGCACACAGTGCTGTTAGTTATATATCTCTGATCTTTGACAATGGCATTTTATCACTGTTCCTTGTTGTCTTACTACCATAAGAATAATCATATATGTGTTGATAGAAGGTGCTATTTTGCAAATTTGGGAATCATGTTATTTTTGGAATGCTTATTGAATGAAATGCCTATCAGAAATGATTGCTCTGGTGCGTGTGTTATGTCCACATCTGCTGGGAAGTGAGACGCCTCTGTAGAATTTCTTTGTAGACTGGCCAAGATTTATCTTGTCCAAGTGACACACATCATGCTAAATTAACTCTGAGCATTGGCAGCAGTATGATCTTGTCATTGTGGTATTCCTGCTTCATTGATTAACTGAGGTATTTAGTTTTGATGAAACACTACACTACAGCCATACTACTTTTCACTCTCAAACCCAACTTCAGATTTTCATGTCTGTATAACTGTTATCAAAGAATCATAGAATGGCATAGGTTGGAGGAACCTTAAAGATTGTCTAGATCCAAACCCCCTGCCATGGGCAGGGTTGCCAACCTCTAAATCAGGCTGCCCAGAATCCCACTCAACTTGGTCTTGAACGCCTCCAGAGATGGGTCATCCACAGCCTCTCTGGGCAACCTGTTCCTGTGCCTCAACATTCCCTGATTAAAAAATTTCTCCTTTATATCTAACCTAAGTCTCCCCTCTAAACTGTTATGCATGACAATTATGAAGAAAGAGTCATGCTGTTGATTGTTTCTAGCTGTGCACTGAAGTGATCAAACAATTTGTTGATTGCTGTTTAGTAATTAGTGTCCACTCTATCTTGGTAGGCCAATGTCAGGAGTAGTTTAAGGCAGACAAAAAGGCAAGCAGATGTTGGTAGAGATAAATACAAGACCACCTTGGCATTGCAGACTGCATAGACAAGTAAGCTTTGTTGAGTGAGGTATTCAGCATTACTAAAATACCCATGCTTCAGTGTCTAATGTCTCAGAGTTTGGAAGTAAGACTTTGGCGTGGTCAGAGTTACAGGAAAACTCCTGCATCAGTTAGTCAGGAACTTCTAACTTCTGGTTCACTAGTGTTCAAAGATTCTGCATTTGTCACTAATATAATTTCTGCAGTGTAAATGGACCTGATCAGCAAATTAATAAAATGCAACTTGCTTTGACAGAGCCAGAGGGAGACATAAAAGAAATATACCAGTGACAGGAGAATGAGACATGCCGCAGAAGTAACAGTGTGGCTGCCCTTGAATGCCTGATGATGGCACATTGTGCTTTGCTGTCAGTCTGTTGACTCATGTACACTTCAAAAGAGCTCTCAGGAGAGGCAGTTATGCGAGTCACTGCCTGATGCACTGTAAATCATGGCTGTGCTTTTTTTATTTGAATGGGCCTTGAGTGAGCCTAATACTGTTCTGAAAGATCATCTAATGTCATTGGAACTCGGGGATTTCAGTGAGTGTGGGGCAGAGGGATGAGGGAATACTTGTCCTAATAGACAAGATTAGTCAGAGCTACTTTGGGATTGTCTATCAACTGTTCTTCAGTGTCATGTACTGCAAGTCAAAGCTAATAAAGTGGTAGGAATCACAAGTTTCATGGAAGTTATGCTGAACAGAGGTCTATCCAAAATCAGTGCGCTCTGTTTCCATGTCCTCTCTCCTGAAGCTGTACCCCTGAGATTTGATAAGAAAGCAGGGCAAAAGCTTTAGAGAGTTGGGGTAGGGATTGGTACTGTCAGATGCTTTTTTGTCATCAAGTTTCCTCTTAAGAACAAACAAATGCTTTTCCTCTAGGAGAAAAGCAGTAGTACTCTAAGGAGTACAGCAGTAAAGGGATACCAGGTGGCACTGAATGAACTGTGAAATGCTGCAGCCATAATGCTGTAGTAGAACCACATCAGCAATATTAGTTGAGATTCCTAGGGAAAGAACCTTTACACAATTGTGTTGCCTTTGTCTACTGATCAGCAGAATATCTCCATAATTTTAAAAGCTGTAGGCCAGCTTCAGATAAATTTTACAGAATGGAAGAGACTTATTGTTCTTAATGAAGATGATTGAGTGGGTGAAGGTAAATCTCCCCATAGAAGGAAAGGTTTTGACAGGAATTCAGTTATGTTTTTAGTGACAAACCAACAAGGGGGAAATTTTGAATGCCCTGTGTAGAAGAAAAACTTTGATCAAAGTATGCATTCTAGTTGAAATGGATGGTACAAACGTGAGATGCAAAGCTACAGGTAACTCTGAAAAGCATTTTACTCTCTCTGGAACTATTTGTTATTTTCAAAGATTTGATAGACTGTGTTTGTAAAGTTGAAATTGTGCTGCTTACAGTTACAAACTGGAAATTCAAAGCACAGAACCAACTATGTAAAGACTTGCAGAACCATATTAAGCCATAATATCTAAGACAAAGATTATTTCTGAACCTCTGGTGCTGTCAATTCAGGAGCTCCCAGGGCTATCTAATTTGCCTTTTGCTTTGCTGCTGAGAATGGAGGAAATCGCATCTCTTGAGATTGCCAGGGGGGATAGTTTTGAGCTATTTAAAATTCACAGGAGATAGTTAAGAAATTCACTTTCTTATGTTGCTTTACAAAACCCAGGAGAGTTATTTTAGATGTCCTTCAATGATATCATGATTTCCATATGCTTTAAGAATAGAACAGGTCTCAATTTGCTAACTCATACTCATGTGGCTATCAGACCTTATAGGATGAGTGATACTGTTTTAGCAGTAGTGGTGCTCTGTCACAGCAGATAGCTTGAAGAAGATTATGCCCAGCCTGAAAGGCACAACACAACCACTGGTATACAGAGCTCAGATGTTAACCTGATTCTAGGCTTTGGCTGGTATTTGCAGTGTGAGCTTGCAAACTTGTTAGTTTGTGAAATGCTTGAAATACACCTTAGTAAATGGATAGTTGTCATTAGAATAGGAGAACTAAGTCAGGAGACCTGACTTTGGTGTCTGATACTGAAGGATGTAGCCAAGGGATCCAGTAGTCTTTCTATATCTGTAAAACTAGAACTGCTGTTGGGCAAAGATTAGGGAAATGGTTATTTCCATGTTATGTGATGCCATTTGCATTGTCAAAAATATGACCAAGCTCACACAATTACTTTGTGATGTTCGATTTGCATCTTCTGCCTTTATATAAAGCTACTGTATATGTTTAATATTTTCTGACAGGATGACATCCAGCCAGCTGTGCGTTTATACAGCAGCAGTGAAATGATGCTCAGTACCCCACAGTGCTACAAGTGGTTATGTCGGGTCTCACAAGCAAGTGCACTGAACAGAATGGTGATGCCTGTGCTTGCCACTCTGACCTCTTCATGTGGGCAGGAAAGGGTTAAAGGCTGAAAAAGAAACTATCAAGCACTCCTCAGACTCTGAGGAGCAGAGGAAGAGTAGGCAAAGAGAGGAGTAGAGAGAGATTAGAGATCCTGCCTTTAAGCTGAGTGGTTTTCAAATGGACTACAAAGGGGAAAAAAAAATGAAAAGGCCAAAGTATATCTGGTTGCTGCAGAGAGTGGGCCCTAGGAAATGAATATTGGGGAGGGTTTACCATGGATGGTCAGCTAATGTGGGTGTGCTGTGATTTTAGATTTGCTGCCTACTATCAGTTGTAATTCTGATATCTCTGCTAGTGTACCTTCCCTGAAGTGGCTAAAATAGGGCTTACTGAAATGCATTTGCAGTTGATAGTGAAAGTAGGAGCCACTGCAAGAACAGCTGTGGAACTTTTTTTTTCTGATTGTGCTATCTAGTGTTTCCGTGAGTCAGATTTGTACTGGCTAGAACATCTGCAATAATACAAAAAACAAACCTGTGCTTATCTGAGCTGCACTTGCACTGATAACTGTATCAGGAGAGCTAAACTGGTAATGAATTACATATCTGAATTCTAGCAAGGCAGGTGTTGTCTGCCTAATTGTGCCAAAAGCCTCAGTGTCAACAGTGATTGTGAATGATGTAATGCCACCTTGCAGCCAGAACCATCCCGAGATCATGAGCTCATTTCATATAAAATAATGATCAGTTGGAAATACCTCTTTGTTGTAAGTAATCTGAAATACCTCTTTGCCAAAAAAATTTGCTAATTAATTTCCTCTTGAATGTGGCAAGGAAACTGGGGTTTCCAAGCTCTTGCTGGTAGAGCGTTTGTTGAGCCAAAACCATTCAGACGTTTTGATCATGCTGCTGCCAGCATCTACTCTAAAATTCATTTAAAACTGATTGTAGAATGAAAACACAGTGCAGATGTGAAGGTGTGCTACTCACCCAAATGTCTATTTTCCATACTGTGCTTCACTGCAGCTGTAGAAAGTAGTGGTAGGAGGTAAACTGATATGGAGTTTCGGCAAGGATTCCAGTGTATTACTTAGATCTTTAGCAGTAGTTTCCAAGCTCTTGTAGTTGTTGAAATGAGTGATGATCTTGAGATAACACAGAATTCTCCAACATACTGAGAAACTTGAGCAATTCTTTTAGGAAACGTTACGCTATTTTGAAGTAGTAAAAAATCTGCAGAGATGGATGTGAGCCAATAAAATTGCGATGGATTCTTTGGAAAGTAGCTTTTTTTTTTTTTTTTTTTTTTTTTTTTTTTGAAAGAAATTATCTGCCACCCTCCTTCCTGCCCACATTTATTGGTTCAGTAGGTCTCCAGGTTAGTGGTAGGGTAGAATAAGAAATTTTTCCCCTTGCTATAATATATTTGGGGTATATCTGCGTTATAAGAATTTGAAAACACTGCTATTTATATTATAACGTGAAAACAACAAATTACATACAGTCATATATTTAGCTGTTTTTTTTGTTTTTTTGTTTTTTGTTTTTTTTTTGTTTTTTTTTTGTTGTTTTGTTTTGTTTTTTAAGAATCAAGTTGTTTATAAGGGGAGTAGAAGCTGCTTTAACATAAGTATGTGTTTCTTTATAACTGAAATTTCCATGATAAGTAATTGCTGAAATCTTTTTCATTTTTCTTTTTATCTTTATTTGGCCCTCAGTGACTTTGAAGTTTGGTTCAGGTCAAATTGTACATTCATCTTTTAAAGCATCTGAAGTGATAACCTCAGTTTGTCCTCTAGATCCTGAAAGCTTATGTTTCTGTTCAACTTTAATTCAGTTCTTGATGGTCTGTACTGAAATTATTAGAGGCACTGAGTGATTTATTTTTTAATGAAAAAATGAGGCATCATCAGGCATTGCAAGAATGTATCTTATATTGGAAAGCTTTTTTCCTATTTTGCTGCAGCTATCACAGGTCAGTTTTTTTTAATAGAATCTGATTTATGAACCATGAAAACAGGACCCTTGAGGGAATAATTCATTAATTAGCACTTTTCCATTTGTGATTATTGGAGAAATAAACTATTGTATTGGAATTTCCTTTTTGCCCCTGGAAACTGTGTAAACAGTATTAATACGTCACATGCACCAGGGTAAGAGTATCATAAAAATTATGAAGATAGTTCTATAAAAAGTATCTATACATTTACATTTTCTCCTTCACCACATCTAGTAGATTTCTACCATCATTGTGCTTGAGAATTTTGCACTCTCCTAAATAGAGACTGCATTAGGACATTCATTTTTGATTATGAGCTTTCTTCCCAGAGAAAGTGTTTAGGCACCTTGGAGAATATCCACTGTAGGACAGGTTTGGGATCAATCTCAAAACTGCTGGACTGGGGCCTTGGATTGGAGGATTTTGTTTGTTTGTTGTTTTGCTTTGTTTTAATTATTTTTTTCCCTTTACTTTTACACAAGGGAACCTGCATGACCAGTAGGTCTGCTGCTTCTTAGTGAGAGCTCGTAACAAGAGGAGGGGAGAGCTTGTGTGGCTGAACGAACGGGTGGAGGTCATGATTCTCTATAAAGAAGAGAGCTTGGTGAGAGGGGAAGCAGGAAAATTCTGACCAGCTTGAAACACTGACAAAACTGAGGCTGACTTGGAGGCAATGCCAAATCCGTGGAGTGAGGAAGTCCCAGTACTGGTGTTACTTTACAGAAGTCTGTGACTCTGCAGCACTTAATAAAGCAACTGGTTGAGAAATTCCTTTGCTGAGCCTGAGTACCATGTGTTTTGGATTGGACTTTTTTTTTTTTTTTAATGCATGTGTGAGATGGTGCCAGGAGGTGTCAAACTAGAATTACAACGTGAAGGAGGAGTTCTGAGAAAATATATGTAGATTACTAAAAGAGAAACGAGAGTCTTGGATATGTAAAGCTGCAGTTCAAAGCTCTGTGATAGCTGGGTCATGAAGCTCTGACACAGGAGGATTTACACAAGGAATCTGGGCCTGAGTGAGAGCAAAGCTGATCCAGAGCTAGAATCAATAGTCAGTTTAAAGAGAGAGTCAGCTTTGAATTCAGCTGACTCTTCTGGAAGGTCAGCTGTTATTCCAGGCCATGAGACAGAACCTTAGTTCTCTCTGAAAGGTTGTAGTAAGCTTTGATTCTGCAGCTCTTAATGCTGTGAATAATCATGATATCCAGAAGAGCAGAAGCTGCAGAAGAAGCTGCTATTGTCTTCTGCAGCAGTTTTTGGGTGCTTCTAGTCTGGTAGCATTCATGGAATGAGAGCAATGTGATGCTGTGGTTCTTTGCAAGCCCTCATTTGCTATGCTGCTGTGGGTAAGTTATGATCCTCATTGAAGAACAGAAGACAGAGATGCTTATGGGGGAGTTGGAGCAGTATGTTACAGAGGCTATATTTAGCTACTATATATTCTTTCCTAGTGCTTCACCCAGAGTTGACATATATTCACTAAAAATGCCTTGGACCTGTTCCCAATCTGATAGTATTTATCACAGGTTTACCTTTGGTATTAGTGAAATTACTACTTACATTTTTCTTATTCTCTGAAGCAGAGGAATTTAGGTGCTTGTATTTCCTTAAACTGTTGGTAGTCCTTGACATCTAATGTAGTCTGCCTTGGCTCTGTGTACCACTACCTCTCAGTAATAGCACTGAAATACTTCTGGATCTGTAATGCAGCTTCCTCAGTAGCACCTACTAACATAGCGAGTTAATTGCCATAGTTCAGTTCATCACTCCCTTTTTCTGCAATTAGCAGAATGTCTTTGCAGGTACATCCAGCTAAATAAACTCAGTGTTAAAGCATTATAAGGGTATAATGATCATGCAACAGATAAGTACTTGGTTCATGAATTTTTATTTCACCACTTAAGGAGGGGGGGAAGGTAAAACAGGTAGGAAAAGAGGATAAAAAGGAAAAATCTCTGAATAAATAATTTCTGTATTTCTGAGAAACGTCCTGTGTAACACACTGAAAGTTTGGAGATCTAAGTAAAGGCCTTCAATAAAGGCTTAGGCACATTTAAATTTCTTTTCTCAGAGAGTTATTATGTGCTGTGTTATAGTAACTGTGTGTGTGCTGTTAGGTTACAGGAAGCCTCAGGTAAAAAGTATTAGTGTGAACCTCCAGGGAAAAGGTTTAATTAAGTCATTGTCTCCTCTTACTGACAGGCTAAAAGCAGCTACATACTGTATTCCTGCAGCATCCTCTGAATTGTCATACTTTGGTCACATATCAGCATCCCTAGGCGGAACTGCCTTGCTGAAGTAGTTAAAACCTGTATCTGCAGTATTTCTTGTTTGGTGCCACTATTGTTTGTTTTCAAAATAGTGGATTAAGTGGGAAAGGTTTCAGTTAGATCTAGTTACCTCATTAGAGTGATTATGCAACTTTAAAAGTATTTTCGGACTAATGATCTGAGTTCTTAGCGCTGGTCAGCACTGCATTCACTGGAGTGCAAAGTCTAGCTTTGTAAATGGCATTTGTTTGACTAGGCAGTCAGCCCTTGGCTTAATCCCTAACACTGACTGTCGAAGGAAAACTTGGGCTGAATTTACTTTAAGGAATGAATGCATGCTGTGATATGCTGGCACTCTGTGTCCTCTTCCTTCATTCATACCAGCTGGGAAACTGGACGGCGTGTTTACAAACTCCTGTCTGGCCCGTATATACACTGCTGTCCCACATGGAAGGAAAGGCATAGTAAATGCTGACTCATGTCAGATCTTGCCCAGCTAGGACACAGTGCCCCATGAATGTGTCCTCAGCACACTTAGTAATCTGAATAGTCTCCAAAGTTCACAACCTCCAAAGGAGGAGATGAAGGAAAAAAAAAAAAAAAAAAAGATTCAGGAGCAGTTTTATGCAGCTTTTCTGGAATTGTTTATCCATTTACAACCACATTAAAAGCACAGCTGAACAGGCTTACTATTGTACACACATACACATTCTATTTATTTTTTTTATCTCCCTGTGTCTGTTTGCTGAAAGGTACTTAGATTATGTTTAGTACCATTTTTGATACCATGTGATCAACTCTCACCCACAGATCAGTTGATAAAAATCAGCATTCTGGAGGTCTGGATCAACCTTGCTGTTGTGCAGTGTCTTATTTTCTCCTTGATCTGAGGCCTAGGAGTCATATTTGAAAGGACCAGAATTGGGAGATATTGATTTTTATGTTTTCCAAAGGAAGAATTCATTGTTTCATTAGTTTATATCTTCCCTGACAGGGAAGAAAAAAAGGTCATTCTTAGAAGCTTTTATGTTTTCAGACCATTTTACTGGTTTCCTCTACTTGAACATAAGCTGTGAGATTCTATGGAATTCCAGCTTCAATTCAGACCATCAGGTAACTATACCTGTGGGAAGTAGGTAGCTAGTCTTGCATTGCTCTTGCATTTAAAATTTCTTTTGGAAGAATTGCTGCTCTTGCAAATCACTAAATTCACTTGACTGTACAAACAGAGCTGTGGTTTCCTATCATAACAAATGTTCAAGTCCCCCTTAAGACTCAGGTTGTAGGCTTCTTCTGTCTTCGTTCTCTCCTAGAGCTCTTTTTCCACCATACTGTGGAAAATTTTTTTTTAGTTGTGATCTTTAAATCTGGCAAGTCATTCAAAGGTAATGCAAGTCATTAGCTAGAATTAGCTAGAACAAACATATGCTGCTTAGTCATGATGTGACACACATCCTAAGGGAATGTTCCAGCTCCTGGATTCCAGGGTGCTCTGTAAGAGATCTTTTCCAGGTTCTTGTAACTAAATATTTATCAAATAAGAGAGAATTGCTTCCTCTCTTACTCAACTGTTATCACTGAATATGGTTCATATCTTTGCTTTAATGACTGTGTAGTTATTTATACAAAATTTTATAAAGTTGTTTAAACAGCTTCCCTAGTAGAGACTTACCCCAAAACAACCTGTAGCCTTACAGCATAGACACACTATTATAGATCTCTGGGTTGAAGTCCAGCTTAAGGACATGAATCAAGATCTTCCATAATACCTGTAAATAATCAAAAAACTAATAAGATAAATACTAAACATACAGGAAAAGCATCTTGTTTTGGCTTTTGCAAGCAATGTATATAGCTTAGAGATGTTCAGAGCTGACCTATATGCTCAAGTTATCCTAGTGAGCACTCTAGAGGACAAGCCTGGTTGAAGAATTATGCTTTGATACTACAGGGGTCAGTCAGTCACATACCTATCAGGTGATGCAGAATGCATTTGAGGACACAGTCACAAAAGTTTAACCACTCACAGGGATTAAGAGTAACTTCTGCAGAAATCAGTTGTGCTTATAGCTGTCTGGTAGTATGTAGTAGCTTGATGTTGGAGCTTTGTTTATTTTACTTAGGTTGGAGCTACTGATACAGAAAAGAATTAATTTATATATGTCCCAGTATTGCCATTTTAGAGTGAAAACCAAGAAATAAAAATGTAAAAGTAGCCTTGAAGCATTCATGGAAATATCTCAGTTTCTTAGGGAACAATACATCTAAATAACTGTTTGTATATATATATTTATATATATATATATATATGTATATATATATATATTTTTTTTCCTTGGAAATAACCACTCTTGTTTCTAAGTGTTGCTTGACACATCTGAAAATGTGACTAAAAATAATGAACGATTGCATTTCAACTGAAGACATAACACATAGTATGCTTTAGGGAACACCACCTACAGTTTCCCATCTGAAAGGAAAGAAACATTTACATCTTTTTTTGTTTTTCCTATGAGCATTTTCGTAGAATCTGGAAAATGTATAGGCTTTGCAGCATGGATAGAAGATCAGCAAAGCAGTTGGTCATTTTAGACTCTGTAGGCAGTAGGAAACAGCAAACTTTTTGGAGAAAGCTGCCAGACTACTCACTTCAAAGACTAATATAACCTGATAGATCCAAGGGTAGCTCAGAGCTTGCTATAGCAAAACCAACTGCTTGAATTCAGTCTGCTATTAAATAATCAAACCTTGCAAATTCAAATCTTTAATGCCTTTGAAAATTGTTGCTGTAACCAAGTAACCGATCAAGTCTGCAATAGTTTGTGTCTGGATATGTTAAAAATGCAATGTGACATGAAGAAACAGGAAGAACAGTTTTAGGGATTAGACTTCCATCTCTGCTAGTATGCTTAACTGTTAATTTAACACCAAGTTTAATCTCATTCCAGGTCTTTGTTTGCTCAATTACCTGGGGTAAATGTAAAGTGGATTTATTGGCATTGGTTCAGACTCACGCTGAATGAAATCAAGATGTGAAATCAGGATGTGGCCTAAACCATACCAAGTACAACATTTTTCTGGAGTGCTCTTTTCAGTGCTTATTTCACTTTAATTTTTTTCTAAGCTTTATACATACACACACACACACACACACACACATATATATATATATATATATTTATTTATTTATTTATTTAATACGTATGGTTGACACTTAGGCTTGATTTAATAATTGGAGTTTCAGGAGTTTCCTTTGCCTGAGCAACAGTACAGTAGAGGAAGGACAGGATAACGATACATAATTGGACGTAAAATAAATTACTTAGTCACTCTTCTGGGGAGATACTGCATGCTGCCCCTTGATATCTGATGCATATTAATTTATCACTGTTTTTAACATGAAGACTTGTAAGCAGTCCCCACATTCACTTTTGTTCAGTGTGACTATACAGCCAAGCTGCTCTAGTACATCAGTATTCTCAATTGCTATGCAAAGCCAGTT